AGAATGTCTCTGACACTAACCTGAACTACTCCTGTAGCTGTTAGCCCTTTCCATCTTATTCCTACTGTTGGTGAAAATGTGATTCTGTCCACACATCAGGGAAGTCTGCCCAGTAGGTATGTTGGTCAGGGTTGGCTGAATGGCAGAATAATCGAGAATTTTCTGAAGACCTTTTAGGAAACCTTCCACAGGAGTGTAGTGACTACGTTTAGGGGACCAGACAGTTTCTTTCAGATAACACAGGAGAGAACGGATAGGATGTCATCCTCACGATGGGATTTTTACCCTTTTAATGACGGTGAGGGGTGTGATTGGGGCATGGGCATGGAAGATAACTGAATAAAAGGCATAGGAGCAAAGGTAGCATAGGTTAAAAAATTTACCTAAAATTAATTGCAATTGGAGGCTACTTTTCAAGTGCCTTCAAATACAAAGACTCTGTGTAGTCCATGGTTGAACTGAATGTTTCTCGTTGAAGGCCAAGGAGCAATGTGTTGGGAAGGGACCTGAATCAAGCTTGATGCTTTGAACACTGTTTCTGAGAACATCAAAGGAAGCTATTCAATGGGAGAGGATATGGCCATGTGACCAGGATGCAGTATTGAGACCCATGGGTAGTTGGATTGAAAAGCCTTTTTATCTCAGTGTGAAGAAGATGCTTATAAGGGACAGAAACCTCACCCCTGACAGGGACGTGCCAATGAAAGGTCGCTGCCAGTATCACTTTCTTGGCCTGGGGAGACCGAACCAAGACAGTGGGAAGGCTTAATCTATGTGGGTCAGCAGTTACCGAGGAGAGCTGAGAATTGGGAGGTTCTTTTGATTGTGGACAGAATTGACCGACTGTGCTGCAGTGAATGAAGGGAAGAGATTTGTGTGAATTCTGAGGAGCCATGCAGGTAAGGGAGGAGTTGCGAGTTCTCTAAGAAAAGCAGTTAGGCCAGGTCATGGATCAGGGAGGACCCATATGGACATTTAATCTGAGCAGGAGTCCAATTTCAAAAGGAAAAATGTAGATATCAAAAAAGGCAATGCAAGAAAGGTCTTGTTCCTCTGGTAACTATTTTTCCAGTGAAGCCAGTTGAGAGGGTTCATACAAGAACATTGAAATTTGCTGGACAATAACAGCCCTTGAAAGAGAGCCTTTCATTTCTAGGATCAGGTGGGATCAAAGATGGGATGGACAGATCTTATCTGGGCTTGGAAAGAGCTGCTGTACCTCTTGAATATAAGCGAGGAGGTCTTTGCACTGATTTTCTGCCAGCGTGTGGGAATACCCCTGTGTCAATTAAAGACATTTACTTCATGGAATTTTTTTTTTAATGTTTATTTATTTTTGAGACAGAGAGAGACAGAGCATGAACAGGGGAGGGTCAGAGAGAGAGGGAGACACAGAATCTGACGCAGGCTCCAGGCTCCGAGCTGTCAGCACAGAGCCCGACGCGGGGCTCGAACTCACAGACCGTGAGATCATGACCTGAGCCGAAGTCGGAAGCCCAACCGACTGAGCCACCCCTACTTCATGGAATTTTAAGAATTATCCCATCTTCAAATTAAAAGATGAGCCAAAGTATAATATAACCAAAGTTTTCTCTTTGTCTAAAATGAATTCTAAAAGTAGAGACTACTTATGAAAGTTGTAACACAATTTTTGGAATAAAGAAAAATGTGTTTTGGCACCTTTCATCTGCAATTGCTACAACAAATATTTTGTCTTTTTAAAAGGTGCGGCCTCACCCACATATTATGGATAGGTTTCCAAATAGTGACTGCACAATGAGCCAGACTCATTTTGTTGGTGTTTTGTGCCAGAAATTGCCAAGGAAGGGAAGGACATAGCTAACTTCTTAGAGGATGCTGAGGAGTTACCAGCTGCTTAAGACTTACTGGGAGCAGATGTTATGAAAGAGTGGTTTGCTGCCATTTCCTTGAGGAGCTTCCATATTTCAGTACTCACTCGTAAGCCAAGTATCTTTTTCAAGACTCCTCATTTCCAAATTCAGATGAATAAAGAGGGTATCAGATTTGCTACTCTATTACTGAGCAGACGGGAGGAGTTTGAGGATCTGGTGTGAAGCCATAGTATGTTAGCCTCGCTTTTTTTTTTTTCTCTGCAAGATCCCTGCGAGAAAGGTTTTCTGTGGATGGGACAACAGCCTCTCGAGCTGATAATATTTGTTACTCTTTTGTCTTTAATTCAGAAGGGCATCTAGAGGGAGAAGATCTTTAACTTTACCCAGGGTACATTTTTATCTGGTCACTTTTGGCAGAATTGTTTGCCCTTTTAATAAAATAATGAAGTGTAAAGATCTTTTTGCAGTGGGAGGAATCAGAGCACCTGGACCAAGTCACCCATATCCATTTTGACCAGAACATTGAGCAAGAATACCCAGGAGAGAAGATGTTCTCGAGCATGTGTTAATGGTTGTTGGTAGCACTCTGATCCTCAAGCCAGTGGCTGATCCCTTTTGAGAGGTGGGACTCGAACCATTGGACCTCACTGCTCCCAGGGCTAACCCTCCCAGTGGTGCAAAATGTGCAGTCTCTTTTGGTAGATCACGTTTAAGCAGAAGCTTCTGATTAAAACGGAGCCTAGAGATGAACACGGTGGACCTTTGTAGTTACCCTCCAGTTGTCTTGATTCTCCAGGACCCCCTACCTGGACTCCAGTGCTGGGGAAAGCTGTTTACTTTGAGATGGGGATTGAGAAGGCACCTGGCACCTTGTTTTCTGGGTAGTAGGTTCCCTATAAATTCTAGTCGACCTTCTTTTTCCTCATTTCTTCCTTTCAGCATGATGTGGTAAAACTCAATGGCTAGGAAGTCAGAGCTGAGTTGGAATGACACATAAAAGTTACTTAGCTTCTCTGCTCCTCTGTTTCGTCCATGGTGATGGCACTTCCGACCTTAAAGGATGGAGGCAAGGACTTCATGAGGTAAAACATGAGCCTATAGCTCATTATAGATGATCAGTGGGTAATGATGACCCCCTTCCTTTCCTTGCCATAAAAACCTCACATATATCTTTATCTGACCTAGCTAGCATCTGAGGTGTCGGTCAGTGCAGTCTGCTGATCAGGCATTTTACTATTTTCTAAAAATTTTTGAAGTTTATTTATTTTGAGAGAGCACGAGATGGGGGAGGGGCAGAGAGAGAGGAGGACAGAGAATCTGAAGCGGGCTCTGTGCTGACAGCAGAGAGCCTGATGCGGGGCTCAAACTTACAAACAGTGAGATCATGACCTGAGCCAAAGTCAGACCCTCAACTGACTGAACCACCCAGGCGCCCCCAGACATTTTAGTTTAAATGAGAAATGGTATTAAATAAAGCTAACATCCATTGGAATAGATGCACCAGGCCTTTAGTAATAGAAATTGGGACATTATTTCAGTATTCAGTCAGCTCTGCTATTATGTATGTATTCCTAAAAATCATCATGCTATGCAAAAAAAATTATGCCATGAAAACCACAGGGTTTACAGGAAAAAAAATGGGTTAGGGGCATAACATCCAAAAATGTGTCAGAGGCACACACACAAAATAGGAAGCTAATAATGATGGTAGCACAGTTTTTCACATGTTAAATGGTTGAGGTGCATAACACTACAATGAGTGTGTGTTCCCATGAAAAGATCTGGAGTTTACTTGTGGAAGCAGGTGTCAGAAGTGTTTGAGCTTGTGAGTGTTGTCTTAAAGTGGTTGCAAGGAGGATCATCTGAAATCAGACGGGAGTTGTAAGGCCAGATGTGGATGAATATGGCGTACAACACGTAGTAAACTGAGGCAGCTGTAGATGCATATGGGCTTCGTGTGTTCCTATGTGACTGGGTTCAGCTGGGGGACGTCATCTGTGTGCATTTAGTGTTTCTAAAAGGAAAAGCCATGCTTAAGCAAACACAAAATTCACATGCTCACATTGTTCCCTCGTGTATCAGTCACATTGGGATAGATTTATGTTTTCAAAACAAGCATTTCAGCAGAACTGACTGTACTAGCTTCCTGGAAAAGGTCACCTTCTCTTAGGCAGTACCCACAAGTAGAAGCAGATGAAATCATTGTAAAACATAAAGGCTCATGGGACCATTAACATCCTTTATGAAGTGGTGGCCATTTTATAAATATAAAATTTTGTATCCTTCATATATGGATTACCATATTCTGGGTAAAGGGGAGTTATTGTCAGACTGCATTGAGTATGGGAATAGCAGGAGTTGGGTGGGTGGCCCTTGGCTGTATTCTGTAGTGATTTTGCTTGTAGATTATCTCTTTGGATCATCTACTGCCTTGTTATTCTTCCACTAGCACAGAATGGCCACTTTTGGCACCCCATATCTCATGTTACCTTACACACAGACTCATGAGAAGAGAAGTCAGTAAATAATAAGAGGACAGCAGTCCATAAATAACAGGATGCTGTTTCTTCATTCACCCGGATCTCTGTTAAAGATCCTCTGTAAATGAATCTTGTATTTTAAAAAGAAATGCGGTCATGAATATCTGTGATGTTAGGAGAACAGGGATAGTCATATGATTTGTGACTTTAAAACGTAGTGTAGACTGAAAAGGCTGAAGGTAAACTTTAGGTGACGTCTGTGAAGCCCAGAAATTGCATACAAATTTTCGTTGGTAAGTACACTTTGGAAAGAAAGTGTCCTTGGCTTTTATCACATTCCTAAAGGGGTCTTTGATCCTGAAATGACCACGTCACACTTTTAGAAAAGTCCATAGATAGAGACTTGTATGGGTCATTTAGGGGAAGCTAGGGTGATCTGTGGCACATCCTAGCCCATTGACTTCATAGAGGGGAGCTTTGGACTCAAGAAGTGCTCTTGGCTGCCGCCGCAGTGATAGTATGAAGCAGGTTTGACCCCTGGGCTGAGCTCGCATGTCGTCTTTGTCCTCTCATCAGTCATCACATCAGTAATGAAGGACTCCTTTTCACACAAGGGCTTACGCCTTTTAAGTGTGTATCTCATGCTTCCCTTGACTTTGTTTTGCAGATGGGAACAACGAGAGCTGCCTAATGGGCGTGTGTATTATGTTGACCATAATACCAAGACCACCACCTGGGAGCGGCCTCTTCCTCCAGGGTAAGGCAAGGCTGGCAAGCCCTGAGACTCTAGAACCGGCACCCGGGAGTCACCGAATGGCTTCTCCACCATTCACTGCCATCACTGTCCTTAGTTTCCTCTACCCTCTGCTCCTTGCCCCCTCTTTTATCCGCCTCCCATTGTCTTCTCCTTCTACACTATTTCTTCTCTTTATTTCCCTTCTCCCCACATTCATTGTGTTGGCAGTGGGCTGTATTATGGGCTTTATTATGTGCCATGGCTGTTGGGTCCTGGAGGGAGGAGTGCGAGGAATCCTGCCTCCTGGGCCATTGATGCCTTGATGCCCTCAGTTATTTCACCTACAGAGATATCCCATCAGGGCCACGTTCTCAGTCATTTTCTGCAGAGGTAGCAAAGTACAGGGATATTTATTCCTGGTCACTTGATTGCTTTTCCTGAGAAAGAGAAAAGGCACGAGGAAGCCAAGATACAAAGGGTGTTGATGCATTTCAAAGCACCGTATGCCCGAGTGGCCCCTGAAGGGTGCTTCTCCTTGAGCTGGGCTTTGTGAGAACACAGCTAAGTTCTCTAAAACCAGAGGATAAGTGAGGCTTCCAAGTGAGGGAAGACTGTCCAAGTTCAAGGAGAAGGGGTTTGGTTCCCTGCTTGCCAGGGACAGAAAGTTCTTTCCACATGTGCCTTTTGGTCCACAGAACTTTCAAAAGAGAATGTATTCTGCTCAAAGGAGAGAATCACCTCCCAGTAAGGCAGTCATGAAGGGCTCCAGCATAAAATATGAACACCTCCCCATCAAGCTTGTAGAGGGAGAGGATGTCAGAGGTGGGGAGTATTAGGAAAAACCCTTGTACTCTGGTTCACTGGTCATACACATGCCAGGCAAATACCACCTCACCTTCTGGTCCTGCAAATTTCCATGGATAGGCTGTTTTTAGTTTCGATTTTCCGGTAGAATGCTTGTGTTTTCCTTTTGTTCCTTACCCTTTTGGAAATGAAACTATAATCCGTCATCATGAGTCCTCATTCTGTTTTCTACTTTAAGTTCAGATTATTTATTTACACATTTAACCAAAGTTAAATATTGATGTCTTGGGAAAAGATCACACTTTTTACTTTGGAAATTATGGAAATTTTCATATTCATATGAATAGTCTCCAATGTGCACTAAGTAGAGAGAATCCCCACATACTCAACACTTGGCTTCAATAATCTTCAAGTCATGGTCAGTCTTGTTTCATCTATACCAGGGGTTGGCAAACTATGGGCCTGTGGTTGAAATCCAGCCTCCACCTGTTTTTGTAAATAAAGTTTTGAAGAAAATCCTATGTAATCATCATATAACTTTATCCATATTTTGGTATATATTTCTAAAAAATGTTCTTACTAAAAACAAAACCACTCTATTGTTAACAGTATTTTCTTTTCTTTATTATTATTATTATTATTATTATT